TTTCTCTATGTAGCCCTGGCTGTCCTGGAACTTACTCTGTAGATCAGGATGTCCTCCAACTCAGAGACCACTACTTCTCAAGTGCTGTGACTAAAGGTGCATGCTACCAGGGCTAGAGAGATGGCTCAGAGGTTAAGAGCATTGGCTATTCTTCCAGAGGGCCTAAGTTCAATTCCCAATAACCACATGTTGGCTCACAACCATCTGTAATGACCTCTGGCTCCCTCTTCTGCCATGCAAGCATACATGCAGGCAGAGCAATGTATACAAAATCTTTTTTTTTTTTTTTTTTTTTTAAAAAGGTGCCTGCTACCACTACCTGGCTAAAATAACAATATTGTTACGATTTAAGCTTACTTCTCTAGTTGAGGATTTGTGTAAAGAATATACTGCTGTTCTTGCCATTCCCAAAGCAGTCTTCAGAAAAGCCATATCTGTACCTGTGAAGAGTAAAAAAGTTAATTCGTATTTATTTTTCTTTTTTGAGACAAGGTTTCCCTGTGTAGTTTTGAAGCCTGTCCTGGAACTAGCTCTTGCCAACCAGGCTGGTCTCCAACTCACAGAGATCTGCCTGCCTCTGCCTCTTGTGTGCTGGGATTAAAGGTGATCACCACTACTGCCAGAAGTATATTTTAAAGATTTATTTATTGCTGGGTGTTGGTGGTGCATGCCTTTAATACCAGCATTGGGAGGCAGAGGCAGGTGGATCTCTGTGAGTTTGAGGCCAGCTTGGTCTACAGCACAAGTTCCAGGGCAACCTCCAAAGCAATACAGAGAAACCCTGCCTCAAAAAACCAAAGATTTATTTATTATGTATACACTGTTCTGCCTGCATGGCAGAAGAGGGCACCAAAACTCATTATAGATGGTTGTATTTCTTAGCAGAGTAGATTAAATGAATAGGATTAAGTAGCATTTTTTTCAAACTAAAATTTCTTCACATTATTTCTTCAAAAATGGTACAGACAAAATATTCTGCCAAAACAATGATTAGAGCTGGAACAATGATTCAGCAGCTAAGAGCTCTGTTTGCTCTTGGACTTGAGTTCAGTTCTAGCACCCACATGGTGTCTCACAACCATCCATAATTCCAGATCCCAACTTAAAAGTGTCTGACATCTTCTGACTTCCCTTAGACATGCAAAGCTACACACAAACATAGGCTAAATCCTCACAGATAAAATAATTCTAAAAACCTTAAAAACACTATTGGCTGGAGAGATGGCTCAGTGTTTAAAAGCACTGGCTGCTCTTCTAAAGTTTGATTCCCAGCAACCACATAGTGGCTCATAACTGTAACTCCAGTTCCAGAGGCTCCAATGTCCTTGCACTGTACACGTGGTGCAAAAACATTCAGACAAAACACCTATACACAAAAATAAACGAATAAAATCTTAAACTGGGTGTGATGGCATACACCTTTAATTCCAGGATTCAGAAGGCAGAGGAGGGAGTTTGGGGTCTACAGAGTTCCAGGAAAGCCAGAGCTACACAGTGAGACCTTGTCTCAAATAAATATTTAAAATCTGATGAAACCAAAATTAGGCTGTTTCATTAGAAAAAAATTGGACTAATGTTAATTTTAATATTCTGAGTGACTTAGAGGAGATAATGAAGAATGCACACTAGTCAAAATAATCTTGGTGTGTGGTACTTTAAACTGAATGTTTTTTCCTTTTCTTTCTTCCTATCTTGCCCACAGTCAGTACTCACAAAAATAAGCACAGTGAATCCCTATGGGCATATTTTGAAACCCAAAGGCGTTAATAACAGGTTTTAGAAGCTGAGAGTGTTTGCCTTCATGATAGAGAGTGTCTGCTCAGCATGTGGGAGATCCCTGTTTTAAAAGTCCCTGGGACTCTTCAGAATCCAATTTTTGTTTTTTTTTTTTTTCCCCCAGAATCCAGTTTCTAAAAGAATAAAAATGTTTTTAAGTTTTATAATCATGGGAGCTGATCAAATCATTCCAGTTATTAGTCAGAAATAAGAATACATTAGTACAAATCTGTAAAAATAAGGATTAAATTTTCCAATTGAACATCAAATGTGAATTTTAGTAAGTATTAAAGTGATTGGTTAATTTAATAAACAGTAGTAATAAAAACCACTTAACCCAGATCACTGCTCTATAGATATGGGAATATGGTACACTTTTATTACTAACCTTTATTATTTTTGGTTCCAAAGGGAGGATTCATAATTACTGTATCAAATAACTTGGACATTCTGTTAGATAATGTGTACACATCACACTGAATCATATCAACATTTGTTAACTCAAACTCTTCCACATTTCTATTAAATATTTCCAATGCATCTTCATCTATATCAAATCCAACACATAACCTATAAATAAATAAAAAAACAATTGATAGGTTCCTAGTTTAAAAAAAAAAAAACACAGTGGTAGTCCCAGCCTACAATCCATAACCCCAGAGAAGCTTGAACCCTCTTCCAGAAACAGATTAAAGCACATTGCAAAAATCCAATGGGCCACACTCCTGAAGTACAATCGAAGTAAGGGAGGTTCGATAATATGAACAAAGGTGTTAAGACCATGATGGGGAAACTCACAGAATCAGCTGACCCTAGCTAGTAACTCAGGTCTGACTAATGGGAATCTGTATAAGACTGAACTAGACTCCCTTAATATAGGTGACAATGGTGTGACTGGGACAATACATGAGGCCACTGACAGTGGGTCCAAGATCTAATGCTAATGTACAAACTGACTTAGTGGAGCCCATTCTATATGGAGAAATATCTTGCTCAGCCTAGACACGGGTGGGGGGGTGGAGAGGTGCGTTGGTCCTGCCTCAACTAGATGATGGGACAGACTTAGTAGACTTCCTAGGCCTTACCATCTCTATGGAGCAGATGGGAAGAGGGAGAGAGTGAGGGGGGTGGGAAGAGAGGAGGGAGAGGGAACTGGGATTGGAATGTAAAAAATGATAAAAAAAAGTTAATAACTTTAAAATTCCATAGTCTTTTACAAATTAATGCACATTAATATTTCAGTCTCAAAAATGGTATTTTAACATGCAATTTTCAACCCAATTAACAAAGTTTCTTTTGTTTTTCTTTTGTTCTTTTTGTTTTTTGAAACAAGATTTCTTGTGTAGCCTTGGCTGTCCTGGAACTTGCTCTGGAGACCAGGCTGGCCTTGAACTCACAGAGATCCACCTGCCTCTGCCTCCCAAGTGCTGGGATTAAAGCCATGCGCCACCAACGCCCAGCTTCTTAAGTTATCTTTACCCTACTCAAAATGTACTCAGTATCAAATTATTGCTCCTCTCATCCTACCTATAGAATCCTATGAATATATACACTTACTTAAGCCATACCATATGCAAATAGCAAAAAAATGATCACTTACCCTGCTCCTAACATCGAAGCCCCAATGCTAAGTACTCCACAACCACATCCTAAATCTGCAACCACTTTATTTTTAATGTCATCATACGTATTATGGATTGTATAGAGCATGCATGCTGCAAACAGTAAAAATAGAACATTAGTGAATAAGTTAGCAAACTTACTACTAAAATCAAATGCAAATGGCTCTAAAATAATCTGTCTTCCCCCAACATGGAGCTCCAGGTTATTTGTTTTCCAGTTTAGTTTTTAAAGATACAATGTAATAATTTGGGATTGAGGAAGAAGCACGGCAAAGGAAGGTTATACACACCAGTGGCTCCCACAAACTATAGGACTATGTCAAGTTTCTGCTGACAATGCCAAGACTGAAAAAAATGTTCAAAACATCTGCTCTACACAGATCCATAGATGTAGATTTTCCTTTGATAGCTGAGATATTTTTATGAAAGATTAAGTTTTATGAATGATAAAATAAGTATCATTCTTGGTCAAAATATGTTTAGTAACCCTGTATTATGTCTCCAAAAGTATTTTGAAATTTCACTGATTTGGGGCTGGCAACATGACACAGTGGGCAAAAGTACTTGCTGTGAAGGCTAACAATCTGAGTTCAGTCTCCAAGACCCATATGGTGGATGGAAGTAAATAACCAACTTCCAGAAGTTCTCCTTGGACCTGACTGAGAGCAGAGACTTGTGTAACAACTCCCCCTCCCCCCCAATAAAGACACAAAACTTATCTGTAGTATGTTTATCACCAGAATACAGTTATCACAAACTTCTACATCCACAACATAGACTTCAAGATATTTTTTAATTGTTGTTTTGCCTGTATGGATGTGCACCATGTGCCTGGTACCCATAGAGGCCAGAAGAGAATACTGGATACTTCCTGGGTTTGAAGTTACAGATAGTTGTGAGCTGCCACGTGGGTGCTGAATTGAACCCAGGTCCTCTAGACGAGCAGCTAGTGCTCCTAAATGCTGAGCCAGCTCTCTACCCAAACTTAGTGGTGATGTCAATAGATGCACATACTCACAATCTGTGATAACAGAACAAATGATCAAGGCAGAAGTGGCTGAGATTACATAGAGTTGTCAAAAACAAGACTCTCAAAAATAGAGTATATTAAACATGAATAACACCATCAGTTTTTCCTTGTGTATATCAGAACTCAAGGACTGCTAGCCATCACTAATATCTGAGGATCCAGAACATTTATTTAAAACAAACAAATACAGGGTGATGGTGGTGTACACCTTTAATCCCAGCATGTGGGAGGCAGAAGCACTCAGTTCTCTGAATTCGAGGCCAGCCTGGGTCCACAGAGCTAATTCTAGGACAGCCAAGGCTACATAAAGACCCTGTCTCAAAACAAAACAAAAACAACAAAAATCCATAGGGCTGGAGAGATGGGTAAGAGTACATTTTCCTCTTGCAGAGGAGCTGGGTTTGATTTTCAGCATCCACATGTCAGTTCACAAACATTTGTAATTCCAATCTCTGACCTCCATAGGCACTAAACACGTGTGGCACCCATATATAACATACAGGAAAAACACTTACACACATAAAATAATAAAAAAAAATTCAAACCATCAATGGGATACTTGATTACTGTTGCAGGTACTTTTATTTTTGTTTGTTTGTTTGTTTGTTTATTTGTGTTTTTTTGTTTTGTTTTTGTTTTTTTGGTTTTTCGATACAGGGTTTCTCTGTGGCTTTGGAGGCTGTCCTGTCTTGTAGACCAGGCTAGTCTCGAACTCAGAGAGATCCACTTGCCTCTGCCTCCCGAGTGCTGGGATTAAAGGCGGCACCACCAAGGCCCGGTTTGCAGGTACTTTGAAACTCATATCATGTGCACATTACAAACCAGGTGTGGAAGAACTGATTTATTTATTGATTAATTAATTTTGAGACAAAGTCTCATTATATAACCCTAGCTGGCCTGGCTATAAGGTCCAGGCTGGTCTTGAAGTCACAAAGATCTACCTGCCTCTGATTCCCAAGTGCTGGGATTAAGGGTATGTTCCATGTTCCACCATAGGCCTCTAATTTTTATATATATATATTTTTTCTTTCTGAGACAGGGTTTCTCTGTGTAACAGCTCTGTCCTGGTACTTGCTCTATAGACCAGGCTGGCCTAAAACTCACAGAGATCTGCTGGCCTCTGCCTCCTGAGTACTGAGATTAAAGGCATATATCACCACTGCCTGGCTTAATATTTACCTTTTAAAAACTGGATTTCATGATCAAACCCTACAACTAAAAGGCTGTAAGAAGTTACACTGAGAAAGCCAGGGACTTGCTTGGTAGTGGCTGGCTCAGTCAGTACTGTCCTTACCCTGCAAGCACTTGAACCAGAGTTCAGATCCCCAGCAGTGACATAAAAAGCCAGGTGCCAGGTGGGGTGCTGCAGGATTATAAACTCTGCACTAGAGAGAGAAGACAGGACCATCTTGCAGCCTTGCTGTTTAGCCTTTTGAGGTGACTGGGTAAGCTCTAAGTATACAGTAAGATCCTGACTCAAAAAACTTACGGAGAGCAACTGAGGAAAACACCTGATGTTGAACTCGAACTCTGCCTTCCATATATGCAGACACACGAACATACACAAAATAAATACATAATAGAGAAAACTGGTCTTAATCTGAACACGGTTTAATGTAAATCTTTGGTTGCATCTATGACAATATTTTTGTTTTGTTTTTGTTTTTTGTTTTTCGAGGCAGGGTTTCTATGTGGCTTTGGAGGCTGTCCTGGAACTAACTCTTGTAGACCAGGATGGTCTCAAACTCACAGAGATCCTCCTGCCTCTGCCTCTCAAGTGCTGGGATTAAAGGCATGCGACACCACCACTCAGCCTTATGACAATATTTTAAACACATGTATTCTCCATGAGTTTTATTGGAAGCTTACAAACAGCTATTTTGGAATTGGAAAAGATTCCCCTTTGCAGGTACTCCCAACCAAAGGAATTTTGCTGTCTTCCCTGCTACTCTGTAACAGGTGTTACATATGAATGGATTCGGCTGTATTTTCTCCTACACTCTCAGTATCATCAGTCTTTGGCATCAAGCAAGAGGCAATTTGTTAAAAATGAAACGCATCCTCAACTTTACACAAGCATGTAACTCTGGTTTCTTGTACGTATCTACATACAGAGCAGAGACTCCACACAAGAATCCTTGTCCTAATTAAAAGTGCCTACCTGCAATGTGCGGCCTGGTGGGATACTGTTCTAGAAGTAACTTGGGCGTTTCGAACCCATCCACTTCTTGTAGGCGACTTTCTAGTTCCTTAAGTCTTAACTTCTTCATTGTTTTTATTTTCAAGTTTGGGCTCCCAGGGCTTACAGCACAGGACCTGCGGGGAAATCTACCTCTCCAGCGGTGCAGGCCGGGGGGCGGGCAGACAATTTAGGATTCAGCGAGGGAATCCCACAGACCTCACAGGAATCACTGCTCTGGGCAGCGGGAAGATGCAGGACTGCAAGACGAAGCAACTTGACGAACCTCCCGGGTCCTCTCCGCAGCGCCGGAAGCGCCAATGCACACGCGCACACTGCCGGCGCCGAGCTGCAACTTCTGCCAGGCGCCAGGGTTCCGCCGAGGACCTGAGCGGTTTTTGGTCCTCTTGGGAGCCATTGGAAGAGGAGGCCATCGTGTGCGGTCGCAAACCAGCCTTGACGGCCCCTAAGAACGCCAGCTTTGTCTTGAGTACCTATAGCCGCTCAAAGCTTGGGGAAAAGAGTTGAAGATACGGGGCACTAGGCCAGTGTAACCCTTCCCCTGTGTTTCTCCCAAGTCTCAGAAAGTATCAATCTACACCCACCTCGGCGTCCTTCTCCATTCAAATGCTCGGCTTTAACTTGATGTCCCTCTCTCTAGGGCATCGTGTTTCTTAACAGCGATGTCAGTGAAGCCAGAAGGAAAGAAAAGTCAAAAGAGTGTTTAAAAGAAAGAACATGTCAGCATGGGTAGCATACATTTTAGTTCCAGTACTCAGGAGGATCTCTGTGCGTTCGAGACCAGCGTGGTTTAAGCAGAGTTCCAGGTCAGCCAGGGCTACAAAATAAAGAATATGATTGTGGTATCAAATGAAGGAAACGTGATAGGACTTGTTAAACTGAGCAGAAGTTGTGGATTTGGGGGAAAATGAAGTTTAGGAAGCAGGCACATAAAAGCAACATTTTTTTCCTTTTTTTTTTTTTTTTTTTTTTTTTTGTTTTTT